TTTTCTAGAGCTAATATTTAAATTATTCTTTATAAAACTGGCTGTTGGATAATCATGTATTCTTATTTGAATATTCATTTCCACCTCTCCTTCCTGATATTTACCTGAGGATGTTTTCAAAATATGCAGAGAACCATTTTATCTCCTCCTCTGTGGAAAATGAAATGATTACAGAGAACAATTCCAAAGCTGGAAATATTATCAGGATGTACTTGTATTGTGGCTTTATAATTGTAGCTTAAATAGAAATATCAGGCTATGAACTGAATGTTTCTGCTATTTCATTTAACCTATTTCAGTGATAAAATTTAGCTTGTAATTGCATCCAGATAATTGTTACAAATGATTTAACTCAAACTCTTGAGAGAAAAAAAGTTCTCTAGGAAATAAAGTGTCATATTTGTAAATAAGTTCTTTGGATAATCCTCACCAGAGTCAACATGAAATGAATAGTTTAGTTTGGGTTGAGAGTTATAAAGGAATGAGCAGAAAACAATATGGTTTGGGCATCAGATAAAACTCAACTCTGCCTTTTGTAATTTTCTAACACTGTGCAGATTAATGTAAACCTGTGAATTCATCATCTGTAAAATGAAAGTAGATGCACTTACCTTTAATGACTTAGAGGACTGAAAAGGACAATTTATTTGTACATATAAAACCATTCAAAAGGGCTGTGCTATTTACATGAGTAAGCAAAGATCTGGAGAGATTGGAAAATGTATTAGAGTGTTATTAGAGTGAGGAATCTATATATTTATGTAGGTACTATCATTCTAAATTCTAAAATATAGTGGTCCTTTTAAATAATGCAGCGAAGTCTTCAAAAATCCTGGTAGCTAAATTATTTGGTTCTAGGCCACAGGAAAGATCATGTTAGATGGCATAATTAAGAACGAAGCCTGTGGGACCAGAGTGAGAATACAATAGGTAGAGCTTAGACAGCTTTTCCTGAGCACAGAGCCAGAAATAATGCACATCTGGGTGTGGCCCAAAAACAAAAACAAAGAAAGAAAAAAGATTAATCCAATGAAATGTATTTTGTGTGCTGTGAATTCTTAAATAAAGTAACATACCTACACTAAGTAATAGCTGTGCTATATTACACATACTGAACGTGTAATAATTCTCTCACAGAAATTGTCAGAATGTCCCATATAGCATTTCAAGATCATGTTAGATGGCATAATTATGTCTCTGCTTTCATATGCCGCTGATAGGCTTGCTGACTTTGCCTCAGAGATTGCTCTTCCATCACATGTGTTTTAGTCTCTCTGAGTTGTTAAATATTAACGTGGACGCTTTCTTCTCATATTGTTACTCCCCTGCTGACATGACACCCCCCCCCCCACAGATACACAATACTACCTTTACAATTCATGCATGTTTCCTTTTTCAGGTCTCATTATCCTAAACAAGACAAACAGAAAGAACCTGAGACCCAAGATGTTTAAGTATTCAACTAACCAGTTCACTAACATCCCATAACCCTCAACTATGATGACTATATTCACTTGAATCTTCTCCCTGTCAGTAGATGCTGTATTCATAACAGCTGAATGTTTAAATTCTTTTCCCTTGTTTTGCCCTCTCTTTCTGAAACTCTAATGCCCATTTATACTAAGCTTGTCATTTTTCATTTCCAAAACTTATTTACAGAAAATTTCATTCACAATACACCATCTACCTAACCTCTTTCCACAACAAATACCCATTTATTTCATTAATTTCAACAAGAGAACTTCTGAGCTACAAATATATTTAAACTCTCCTGGTTTCTCACATTATAGTACAATTCTAGTTAGATATACATAGTAATGGAAAAATATATTTATGATCTTGATAGCCCTGGCAGCTGAAGACCTCTGGTACCCAGCCACAACCATGCTTAAGGCCATTCTCCACACGCTCAGATGAACCTCTCACATAAAGGAACCTGCAGAAGAACCCAGGGCATGAGTCCCAGGGCTGAGATCTCCAAGCCTGCTTGGATCGGGAGTGGGCCTCCTCCACCCAGATCCCCCATTTTCCAGTAGCTAGGCAGTTATACTCACAAACTGACCCCTGTGCCATGAAATCCCATCAATGGCCAAGATCTATAGACTATAAAACAAAACTCCTGGAAGCATGCACTCCATATATGTGGCCGTTTGACATCTTATAATCTAGTTTTCCTTCTCAGAGAACCCGGCAAGCTACCGAGAGTATCCTGTCCACACAGCAGAGCCTGGAAAGCTCCCGTGGTGTATTCAATATGCCAAAAACAGTAAAATGATGTGTCTCATTCCTCTGACCCTTAAAGAGCCTCCAATACAGCACCGTTGGGAAGGACCAATAAGGAGAGGCTGCTAAAATCTCAGGGCTAGGACGAATGCAGACGTTATGGGTGCCCGCTCAAGCAAATCCATGAATAACGGGATGACAGTGATGCAGTGATAGTATTACCTATATTGATTCCAATCAATAATAATCCTATAGTAAGGAATATGATTAAAATGAAGGTAGTGATAAAGCGAGAAAAATGCCAGATAAGTTGTCACACAAGTAATTAATTTGCTCTTCCCTCTTAAACACATTAGTGACTAATAGTATTGAATTGGGTTCTGAGGGACAAAGATAATGTGATGGGGTTGGTAATCAAGATTTTTAATTTAAATTAATTGGTCAGGGGCTGGTGATATGGCTCATGTGATAGAACATGTGGTTAGTAAGTATGATGCCCTGAGTTCAATTCTAGATACAGCATTCTACCCCAAGCACTGCAGATGTGACCCCAATAAGAAAACAAAAATAAACTAATGAGCTCATAGTGAAAACAGATGAAGAGCAATAGTGGTTATTAATCTCTTTCTGTTGTTTGTCTTTTGGGAGGGTCACACCCTGGGCTACTCAGGGGTTACTCCTGGCTCCATACTCAGGTATCACTCCTGGTGGTGCTCAAGGACATATATGGGTGCATGGAATCGAACAAGAGATGTGTCCATGCAAGGAAAGTGCCTTTTCCACTGCACTACCTCTTTGGTCCAAGTTGCTGATGTCTTCTAAGACTATACAAGAAAAATTTGTACTTGACAAACGCTCAGGGACAAATGGAGAAGAAATAATTCACATTTATAATAAAATTCGTTGATGATTGTAGATATGCAAAAGGACAAGTGAACATAGTAAGTAACCACCAAGCAGAGAGAGGTAACTATGTTTATATAATATAAATGGATGTGTGGTGAAGAGATTTATGTCTAGTCATATATTATCATGCATAAATGTGTGGTGTTTATTTAATTTTCTGTTTAATCTTATAACAAAGTACTCTAAAAACAGAATAATCTAAGATTGTGTCAAAAAATTTCAAGTTCTGCTCTGTATTGAGGAAAATACTATAATTACAGAACATGTGAAATTTAATTGTTTATAGTCCTTAAGCATCATTGCAATTTAGGCATCACATTCGTTATGATTTCTTTACAATCTGTGGATTTCTAGTCCTTTTAATTTAACTCCTCATTTCCTGAGTTTTCTATGCATTTAAAGTTGTTCTTGATAGTCTATCTTGCTTGATATTTAAAAAGACTGTCAAGTTGTAGTCTACTGATATATAATTCAGAATTCAAAACTAAACATAATGAAATCTGATTCTGACTTTGATTTTAATTCTGATTTTTGGTAAGTATAGTGAAAACGCGGGCTGGAGCGATAGCACAGTGGCAGGACATTTGTTTTGCACACAGCCGGTGGGCCAACCCACGTTCTATTCCTCTCTCCCTCTTGGAGAGCCTGACAAACTTACAAGAGTATCTTGCCCACATGGCAAAGCCTGACCAGCTACCAGTGACATATTCAATCTGCCAAACACAGCAACAACAAGTCTCACAATAGAGACATTACTGGGCCCTCTAGAGCAAATCGATGAACAATGGGAGGACAGTGCTACAGTGCTACAGTGAAAATGTAATACACAATACATAACTCAAAAGGTGATGCAAAAGAAGAATAGAGACTCTATATAGAAAAAGTTTAAGATTGGCATACACACTTGAATTATGGAAACCTTCAAGAGTTCAAGTATTGTTTGGTTTCAAAATGCTATCCCTGTATGTAATTTTCTTGTAAAGTCATGAATCTTTAAGTATCTACTTCCATATTAGTTGGTTACCAGTTTCCCTAGCAAATCCACAGAAATATAGAAGTATTATACCTAAGGTTTGTTTTTTTTTCCTGCACTTTTGCTGATGAAATTCCCTCACTGAAATTTTCTAAAAAAATCTATTTTTGAAATGCATACAAAAACTTAGATATTTTCAAAGTAAAGGTATATTGATAATGAACACGCACTTTATAACTCAATTTCCTTATTTATTCTTTAAGACATCAACTGTCTTAATAAACAAAAATATAGTCCTTAGAGATAGCATCATTATTTTGCTCATGGATCAAAAGTTGAATAGCTATGTAAATTTGCTGACGGCTAATGTCACTATACATCCGCAACAGCATGCACAGTATAGGTAAACTGGTTTGATCTCTGTGTTTTCAGTGTCTGACATACTTCTGATTTTAAGTAGCACCGCGAATGGTTATTAAAGGTAAAAGAAGCAGCAGGAGCGTGGTTCCAGCTGCTTCGTAAACAATGTAGAAGGATGTTTATTAAAGCTGGGTCTCGAGTGAAATATAAACATATAGTTATATTATGCACACTAATTCAGCGTGTTGCAAGCATATGATAGCTAAAAATGAGCAAGATTTTTAACAATCATAAATTCGACATATAGCTATGTCTGTCTGTGGCAAGAAAATTATTTTTCTTAAGTGTGATCTCTCCCAACCCCCTTAAGAAGTGTGTAATCAGTCTGTGGAGCAAAACTGAAAGCAAACTGGGAATACCTTATGTTTTAAATTTCCTGGTATTACATTTTTTTAAAGGCTCAAAATATTAAATGGGCTCCTGTTAAACCAAGATGCGATTCTCCTTCCTCTAATAAATAAAAACCTGCACTGCGAAATCACTGATTTATAATTTTTATTAATGTGAGGTGTTTAATTCTTTAAAAATCAAAAACAAACGCACACACATAACAAGCCACAAAACAGATTCTTTCATGCACATCTTTTTCTACCTCACAAGGTTCTGCTGCATGATTTAGAGGAGTTCCCTTGCTCAGGATTGGAATATGTTTTCAGTTTTCACTATTCAGAGCCATGTTTACAGAAAGATGTACAAATATTATAGATGGTACATTATGCAACCCTTGCATGATTAAAACTTCAGTTCCTTGGTCTTCTAGGGCTTTGTGTAGATGCTAATAAATTTGGTAGTTCATTCAACTGTGCTTCTTAACCTTTGTCCCAAAGGTGAAGGGCAAGGATTTTAATCAAGTAGCAATTTATCTTTAATTAGGACAACATAATTAAGTATTATCATCTGATTGCAATTACTGGTTGGAGAAAGTCACATTTCACAAGTAGTGACCCATGTTGGATTATCATTCTCCTATTACTGAATTTTGTACCTGTATTTGTTTTTGGCAGACAGCCAATAAAATTCAGAGGTAATCACCATGCTTCTCCGCAGTTCAGCTGTCAAAGTCACTAACTCTGCAGCTGCATAAGAAACTAAGAAATACTTCCTGAGCCATGTCTTGACTGCATCAGCTTCTTGCTCAGACATCAAGTGTAGATCAAAATAATTGCATACAAAAACTATTCCACACTTCATTTCTGGTACAGTTAAAAACAGTTAATGTCTCAAGGCACCACTATGGTTGAACATCAGATATGCAGGAAATCAGCTAACCTATGCTGTAAAGTCAGTGAATAGCCTGTGCAATTGTGAAAAGCAATTTCTAGAGGACTGTTAGATATACAGTAGGCACATGTATCATAATACGAATAGAAAACAATGAGTCCTAGAAAAAGCATGTTGAGCACCGTTGTGGCATTGTTTGTATTTCTTAACCTAATACTACGTAAACCTTACATATACAAAAGGAAACACTAACTTAAAGTTACACTCAAGGTTGCTTTGTGTGCTATCTTCAAGTAAGTGAGTGACTAGTTCGTAGGTGTACTTATAGAAATTGTTGGATCTGGATCTGCTTCTATGGGGCCAGTAGGTTCATTCAAGTGTGAGCTCAAGTTTTCTGATGTTAGGTGGGAAGACTTGTAGACAATCTCATTGAAATCAGACCTGATGCTAACCAAAGGAGGATCATTCAATGGGTCTTCCACCGAGGCCTGTGTGTTTTCTCGAGTGATTCCCATATCTTTACTATGCTCTGATGGAGACTTTCTTTTCATGCGTGTGTATGTTTTGTCTTGATTCTCCATGCCTTGTTCATTTTTCCGAAATCGTCCAAAGAACCAAATGAAGAATCCAAACCACACAAAAGCCATCAAACTTGGAATAAAAGCCAGACACTTGACGTCAATACTAGCCCCAATGAATCTGCTGTGTAAGAACATGTCCCCCTCAGCATAGGTTTTATTAGTCTCTGGGTTAGTGTGATTGGACCTCCATTCCCAGGAGAGCTTAGTTCTGTTCAAATTCTTTAAGCTTTCCGAGTCCTTTACTGTATATATCTTCTGTCCTGGACCAACATATTGTCCATAGTCATGAGGTATATAAAATATCTGAGTCTTCCACATATTAAGATCCAAAATCAAGACGATAAAGATAATTCCATAGTTAAACCATTTACCTGCATAAAATAGAAACACTGTATTAGTCAAAATGATATAGAACTATAAAATAACAATACGCTTTTCTTCATATAATACTATATAAAATGAATATATTATACTAGTATGGACTGTTAAAGTTTTAGACTTGCATAAATATTTGTAAAGAGTTTTATGCTGCCATTGAGTGAATTTGCAAAGGAAATTTACCAAAGTAAATCTAGGCATATTGAAAATACAACATTCAGTCCCAGAAACAGTAATTTAGAGTATTTAAACTAACCAGATTAAATCTCATTGCTTTACAGGCACAACTATAGTCATATTTGTTTTCATATAGACTAGTCTCCAAAACATTTTAATTAATGCTTATAAAAAGTTCAAATAAAATTCTTACAGAAGTTCAGTGGATGATTGAATATTTCTTGCAGTTTTATAATTATGTCTGGACCAGAAATAAATCATTTGGTAATGCAAGCATGACAGCATATCAATTGAATTTATATTGCTATTTGTAGGTGACCTGTAGATTAAACCATCAATTATGTGATTCAGATCGATAACACTGATTATTCAAGACAAAATAATTGCTCCAATTCTCAGTGAAGAACATATCTATCATACAAATAAATATAACCAAAGCTAATGAACAGTTTTAGTTTTGTAGTATTTAAAAATCATATATGAATAAGATATTGTTTAGAAATCATTTGTCTATAACAGCTTTACAAATAAATGGAAATAGGGCAGCGTGGCAAGAGGAAACAGTAAACAGAGAGGTTTTATTTACAGCCACAGGTGCCCAGAGGGCACCTATGCAAGAGGAGATACCATTGTTTTTAGAAATGCACTGGCAGTGGGACTCAAACTGTAACTCAGAATCTGTGCCCTGCATGGTCCCTCCCCACCCCAAGGGACACTAGAGGAAGGTTGTGTGGCTTCCCAGGTGGCAACCAGCTGCTGCCAGCTAATTTTTCCTTTTGTATTGCATTGGACCTATATCTCAGCCTCCTACACCAAATTTATGACAGCTACCCCCACCACATTAGGGCAATAGCCTACTAGCCTATTCCAATCAAAATAACCCCAGATTCACCAAAATCACAGTGAACACAAGAATCTGTACAATGCCAGTTTAAAAGAACACATTCCCTGAATCAGCCCTAGTGGCCCTATACAAGTTACCCAGGAGCACCAAAGAGAAAGGTAATATCCTTGATGAGGAAGAGAAGACCACCATCTATCAAACACCCAGAGTCCTCCCTGGCAATTAGAGGAGGGACACTTGTAGTGAAATGGAAGGATCCACCTCCAGACTGCTACGGCAACTTTGGGGAGCAACACAGATCCCCACCACAATAAAGAAACTATGGCATATCTACACCATGAAACACCACAGCTGTTGGGAAAAATGAAGTCATACAATTTGCTTATAAGTGAATGGACATGGAGAGTATCATGCTGAATGAAATGAGTCAGAAGGCAAGGGACAGATATAGAATGACTGCATTCATTTGTGGTGTGTAAAAAATACATATAGTAGAAGACTAATATCCAAGACCAGGGAAAACAGGTTAGAAGGACTGATCAATTGGTTGGAATCTACCACGTGTGTGTGTGTGTTGGATAAGATCTGAGTGTTAAAAGTAGATAAAATGATATATACAATGACCTTAAGATCTGAGTGTTAAAAGTAGGTAAAGTGATAACACAATAACCTCTCAGGAGAGAGAGAAGAAGAAGAAGAAGAAGAAGAAGAAGAAGAAGAAGAAGAAGAAGAAGAAGAAGAAGAAGAAGAAGAAGAAGAAGAAGAAGAAGAAGAAGAAGAAGAAGAAGAAGAAGAAGAAGAAGAAGAAGAAGAAGAAGAAGAAGAAGAAGAAGAAGAAAAGAAGAAAAGTGCCTGCCATGGAGGCAGGCTAGATAGCGGATGGGTGTTGGGAGAGAAACAGGGGACATTGGTGCTGGGAAATGTACACTAGTGGAAGGATGGATGTTGGAACATTATATGACTAAAACCTAATCATGAACAGCTTTGTAAGGGTCTATCTCACAGTGATTTAATAAAAAAAATCTTTAAAAAAAGCCCAAACAAACAAATAAATGTAAATAATGTGAAAATATTTTCAATGGGTAATTAATTCCACAATAATTTTCACTATAATTTAAATTTCATAGGATTAAGTATGTCATAGTAACACAATAACATCCCCCTCATAATTTTAGTAGAAAATCAAGATATATATATAATATGTTATAAAAGTTTTATTTATAATTATCAGACATATTATGTCCAAATTATTATTATGTATCACCCCTCTCGGAGAGCCCGGCAAGCTACCAAGAGTATCTTGCCCACATGGCAAAGCCTCGTAAGTTACCTGTGACACATTCAATATGCCAAAAACAGTAACAATAAGTTTCAAAATTTGTTGTGAAACGTTACTGGTGCCTGCTTGAGCAAATTGATGAACAACGGGAGGACAGTGACAGTGACAGTAATCATTATTATCATGAGTTTTATTTGGCTTTAGGTCCACACCCAGCTGTGGAGAGCAATTGCTGCTGGCTCTGAACTCAGTGATTACTCCCAAAGTAGGCTCAGATGACCATTTGTGGTGCTGCAAACTCCAGTCAGCTAATGCAAGTTTCATTCCTTACCCACTGCATTATCTCTCTGATCTACTCTCAAAATTATTTTATTTTGTTCTGAAATATACAGTTTTGAACATTATTTATTTACTGTTTCATATGATGATAGAATTCTTGGACAAGAAAGAAATTTGTAGTCAAACATATTAAACCAAGATTGTAATTTGCAATATGTATTCAAATGATAAATAAATACACAAAAACAATCTCATGAAAATTTAGTAAAATATTGATCATAATGATATATTTATTTTTACACAGAAGGCAAAATTATTTTAATCTGTATTTCAAAACTGTGATTTTGAGCTAGTTGTTTAAATCATCAAAATCTGTTTCTTTATGTGCATAAATTTTAATTAAATTATAATATTTTATGAGAATATATGTCCTAAGTATAGTGCCTGGTACATATTATAAGCTTTATGATAATAATTTATGTAAACCATCTTAAGGGAAATTATTACGTTGTTGAATATATAACCATTCAGTTATACAGAGTTTATATTTGTTTGTAGAATCTCTTACATGAATGATTTTATTTTATTCTGTTTTTGTTTTTGTTTTTGTTTTTTTTTTTTTTTGCGTTTTGGACCACACAATCTCTGCTCAGGGATTCCCCTAACTCTGCTCAGAGATCACTCTTGCTGGGTTTGGGGACAATATAAAAGTGTTGGGGACTAAGCCTCAGGGAGATCGCACACAAGGGAAACACCCTATCTGATATAACTTTGCTCCAGCCCATGAATGATTTTTTTGCACATCTAAATAAGAGAGTAAGTTGGAATATTAGAAATGTTTTTAGATACCATAAAATATTTATAGCATCTGGGTCTATTAAGTTTGAACCTTTTTTCCCTTCTTGATCTACAAAACTAAAACAAAATACACATTAAGATTCAACCACCAAAAAAATAAAACTCAAGCAGAGAAATCTAATCAAAAACAAAGGTGAGTTCATTATCAAGCATTTATTATGCTCACTGTAAACTCTGTAAGATACCTTAGTGTATGCTAAGAATGTATGTCTCTGCTTTCCAGGAGAGAATTAAGGCAGAGACATCAAAAGAAAAATAACAGGCTGTATTTGAGAGGTGTCAAATAGTGATAGAAATACTAAGTGCTAAAGATGCTGAGGAAGTGGAATAAAATTAAGGACTGTAGCACTGTTCTGTAGCACTGTCCTCCGGTCGTTCATCTATTTGCTAGAGTGGGCAGCAGTAACGTCTCCATTGTGAGACTTCTTACTGTTTTTTGGCACATCAAATACGCCACGGGAAGCTTGCAAAGCTCTGTCATGTGGGCGGGATACTCTCGGTAGCTTGCTGGGCTCTCCAAGAGGGACAGAGGAATCAAACCTGGATCAGCCGTGTGCAGGGCAAATGCCCTACCTGCTTTACTATTGCTCCAGCCCAATAAATGACTTTGTAGGATGTACCAATTTGTGTAGTTCTTGAAAGAAAACTAGGGCAAAACTATCTTGAAATTTTTAGTTTATGTTTTTATTATATTGTAGGTGTCATACATAAACAAATCAGTGCTGTGTAAGAGAGGGGCTGAGGGGACAGAGTAGGAATAGAGTGGGAAATAATATAAATAGAGAGAGGTATAGAGGGGGATGGGCACTGGTGATAGGAAACTACAGAGATTCTCATAGCAAAAGGTCAAAGGCAACAGATTTGGAACTGGTATACAGACCTGAGCTTACCACGGTGGGGAATGGGCTTGCTGGGCTGAATAGGAGCTGGGCCTGGTGTTGGGACACTGCATGCATGAAAGCATGCCACTAAGAGTATTGCAAATTAAGGGGTCAAATCTCTTTTTAAAAAAGAGATTTCCATCTAGCACCAGGGAGGTATTAGTTTTTAGTTTCCGTGATAAAAACAAGTTGTGAGAGGATATTTGAGTGTTTGTCTATTGTTGGAAAGACACATTTTATCCTTAGCGCTAAACTGCCTATGTTGTAAAATCCGGATGAGATGGTTGGAAAAAGAGGCCCTTGACCTTGCACAGTGGACCACCACTTTCACGACTCACAATTTTCTTTGTATTAAAATACACCCTTTCTAGGTAATTTTTAAAATGATTTTCTAATTAGGAAAACCTGACATAAAGGGGTTTCTGTTACTAGGATTCAGAACATCAGAAACAGAAGATCAGTCTTTTCACAGACTTAAGGAGGAAAAAGATGACGGCTCAAGGAGTTTAGAGAAGGGTGCTTTTCTGGTGGAAGAAAGATACTCAATGTTGATAGACAAAGAAAAGACAAATGAGAATAAAATGGAAGTGAATATACACAGATAAAAATAAGGAAGTATGATAGGATATGGAGCTTCTAAATAATTTTTCTATAACCTAGTTCTGGGCGAGCTTA